CTGTTGAAATGAAGCAAACATTGCGTCATCGGTGAAAACAGTTGCGAAATATACGTGTTGTTGTGGTCGGTAAGTAAGGCATTAACCTGCAGTTACAGAACTTGAAAGGAAGGGCAAGGAACAATTAAAGGATCTTTTTCCATGCCTTATGCATATTTGGCACATAGGGCTAGACCTATATTTATAGACCAAGCGGCACTTGGTGACTGATGTGTCAATATCATGCCGGCCGCCTTTACTTCCCAAGGCTATACATACCTGATTCAAGGATATGTCGACCTGGGGATCAAGATCATTTTAGGGAAGGGTCTGACTCCGTCAGGACCCGAACACCCGACCTTCCTATCCACAGGCGAGCGTCTAGCCGCTATACCACAGCGACTCCCAATATACAAGGTAAGATGTTAAATAGTAGTGGCAGCAGCAGTAGCCGTAGCAGCAGCAGCATTGGTGGTTCTTTTATTTCATGTCACCCAATCTCGGGAGCTCAGTGATTTCATAGTGAATTCCCGGGGAAAGTTCGCTACTATAGAAGATTTTTTTTGGGGGGGAAGGGGGGGGGGGGGAGTTCGGGGTAAAAATTAGTCGATGTTCATTTCACGCCCAAACACCTCTATACTAATGAACTTTTCCGAAGAAATCTTTGAGCCTCCGAGATAGGGTGGAAAAAAAAAGAACCGCATTTTTAGTTTTAGTACCCCGTATTCCCAAAAAAAAAAAAAAAAACTAAGACGTGATCTTATATTAATGTTGTTTCCAAAAAATGCACTAGACCTTTTTTTTTCTATTTTTTTTTTCTTAGGGGATGTCTTTTATCAGATACACAATTCCACATGTATCCAAATACAGCCATGTCATCGTCTTTTGGAACATCGTCATAACTCTTTCAATCCGGTCTACGTCTGTTCTTTATTAAGTGCGCAGCAGTGGCATCTGTACTCCGAACGGTCATTCGGAAACACGTCTCTAATTCTAGCTGTCCATCTTAACTAGGGCCTAATTTTTGGGGTAGGGCTTATATTGAAATCATCTTGAAAATCATGCTAAAGCTTGGGGGGGGGGGGGGGGTAAGGTCTTATTTCATGGCAAACAAAGTAATAGAAATGGAACCAGATCTGGAGATACTTTAAATGCCCACCCCCATATTAAAAAAAAAAAAAAAATTGCGATGGAGAGAAAAGTGGTCACCGGACACCGTATAGAAGTTCTCTTTTAAAGTACTAAAAGGTAAATGTAAAGTCGGGAGATGTGAACCAGCGTCATTGCACACGGTTATAAACCATAAGTGCTCTGCCACCAATACAGACAGCTGATAAGAAATGTCCGCCTGTGTCGACGTTCGCACGTAACTCTGTAGCTACAGCGACGTTCCTCGATTTACCCCAGAGTATCACTCTGGTACCAATTTCCTAGAGGCTTGGTGAACCCCGGGAACCGACCGTGACTGCAGCGAGTCACAGCTGGATTTGAAAGCGACCTTTTAAAGTACTGGGGTGAATTACCGTAAAAGACCCGTAGCACCGCCTTCAATCATACTGGGCATATAGGGCTAGAACTATATTTTATAAGCTATTGGGAACTGGGCGGGTGATGTGGTCAACATCACGGCGGCCGCCTTTACTTTCCTAGACAATATACACCTGGTTCTTACTTAAGGTCGGGTCGACCCAGGAGCCGAGTTCATTTTTGAAAGAAAGTCCGGCTCCGCCAGGACCCGAACCTACAACCTTCCGATCCGCAGACGAGCATCTAGCCACTACACCACAGCGGCTCCCAAAGTACCGATCTATTCATTATATATTTTTTAGATGTACTTGTACTGGCCCCCTATCACATAACGCACACACATACACATGTATATATATATATATATATATATATATATATATATATATATATATATATATATATATATATATATATATATATTTAAATGTGTATGTATGTGTGTGTGTGTTTGTTTTAAGCACTGAAACAAGGCCTAGCTCCCTTAAGCGCCCACGCCCCCATTATTGCCTTTGAATCGGTGCCACAGAGCACGACTCTGTATCCCTGTCCAATTTGGTAGATAATGAGAATACAACCTAGAGCCGCTAGACGTGACTATACCTACAGGTGTTGAAACACAACAGGTAGTAGGAGGAGATAACCTGCCAGTCTGCGGATGCGAACGTCAGACAGATAATTCACAGACTGTGTCCAGATGACTTGCATTGACGTCATCGCCTGACACCAGCAAATAGACGGGTTTCATGACACGATCAGGTATGAAAACTAAATTTTGGTCGGCGCTATATAAATGTAAATGTAAGCAGACAGTTTCTTTTCCTCCTCCTCTTCTTCCTCCTTATTCTTCCTCTTCTTTTTATTCTTCTTTCTTCTTCTTCTTCTTCTTCTTCTTCTTCTTCTTCTTCTTCTTCTTCTTCTTCTTCTTCTTCTTCTTCTTCTTCTTCTCCTCCTCCTCCTTCGACGCCTACTACCAAAAACACCATCCCCACAATCACAACCAACTACCACCAACATTAGTCTACTACTACTAATATTACTACTACTGTTACAACTACTTTTTCCTTTTCGTTTTCTTTTTCCTCTTCTTCTACGTCTACTTTTGCTACTACCTCGAACAAAAAGAGGAAGAAGAAGAAAAAAAGAAGACAAATAATAATAATGATAATAATAATAATAATAATAATAATAATAATAATAATAATAATTATAAGAAGAAGAAGAAGAAGAAGAAAAGAAGAAGAAGAATAAGAAGAAGAAGAAGAAGAAAGAAAGAAAGAAAGAAAGAAAGAAAGAAAGAAAGAAAAGAAAGAAAGAAAGAAAGAAAGAAAGAAAGAAAGAAAGAAAGAAAGAAAGAAAAGAAAGAAAGAAAAGAAAGAAAGAAAGAAAGAAAGAAAGAAAGAAAGAAAGAAAGAAAGAAAGAAAGAAAGAAAGAAAGAAAGAAAGAAAGAAAGAAAGAAAGAAAAAGAAAGAAAGAGACGGACGCACAGACGGATGGAGGGACGGAAGGAAGGAAGGAAGGAAGGAAGGAAGGAAGGAAGGAAGGAAGGAAGGAAGGAAGGAAGGAAGGAAGGAAGGAAGGAAGGAAGGAAGAAAGGAAGGATGGAAGGAAGGAAGGAAGGAGGGAAGGAAGGAAGAAAGGAAGAAAGGAAGAAAGGAAGGATGGATGGAAGGAGAAACAAACAAGAATAAAGAGAGAAGCTGACACATCTATCAGTTCGTTTCATAACAACTAGTCTGTGCAAACAAAACCAATACTGGTTACAAAACACAAACACATGCGCACATGACAATTTTTAGCCCACATTTCGTCTCAAAATACACGCAACAACAGAAACCGACTGCGGTATGCTAATCCACAGCCGTCTATAGATATAGTGTAGGTAGGCTGTGGCGAAACCAAATTCCTGCAAAAATCCCTTCCAGCATGGAACAAATTCCACTGATTCATAACCATGGGCAAGGACAGGTCGTAGAACGTCCTTCAGATCAATTGTGATCATCACAGTCGTGGTGTCGGGGCGCAGACACACACACAAAAAAAGCATGGGGGTGGGGGGGTGGTGGAGGTACTCGGGAGCGGAGGTATGGGGAGGGGCTAGGAGTATTTAAAAAAAAAGGGTTTCTAAAGCCCAAAGCTCTAAGGGCATACAAACAAAATAAAAACAAGTAAAGGACCGGTTTCCATCCCTTCAGCCTTATTGAGCATTTAGGGCTAGACCTGTATTTTATAGACAAATCACCCTCGGTGGGTGATGTGAACATCACACCGACCGCCTTTACTTCCAAGGACTTTCTCTTGTACCCACTCAAAGATAAGTAGACCTGAAACCCATGACATTGAAAAATTTCACTTCAGTCAGGACCCGAATCCACAACCTTCCGATCCACAGGCGTGCATCTAGCCACTACACCACATGTGCTTGCCCGTTTATATAACAATATTAATATAATAATAATAAATCTTATCTAGTGTTCTGCCTTGCAGCGTCAGGTAAAAGAACGCAGTAATAATAATAATAAAAAATAATAATAGTACTATAATTCACCGACTGTAAACTCCGACGGAAGGTTCTGGTTGCTCGTCCACTTCTGAATAATAATAATAATAATAATAATAATAACAATAACAATAACAATGTTCTGATTAGCAAATAAATATATCTGAAGAATATCAACAAGAACTTATGCACATCGTTATAAGTTATAGCGATGCTAAGCCTTTTTACAAGGGGACTCAGTGGTCTCGAGGCGTGGCGTCCGCGTCGAGCGCTGGAGGTCTCGGGTTCAGGCCCAAGTGAGAGCTAGGATTTTTTTCACTTGGACTTCTAGTAACTTCATATCCCCAGATTTCTGGGTAGTAAGACCAGACGCCAGTGGGTATTGCTACGCACGTAAAAAATTCCTTTGCAGTTGAAAGTCGAAAGTCGAAAAGAGCAACCTAACGGCGCTGCCCGGACAAGATTTAGACTTAAAAAGCTACCCAAAGTATTTCAGAATCCCCGTCGGTGCTACGGAGTTCGTGCACTGCGCTGAGAATTTACTGACACAGCCTTGAGTTAGGAGCAGAACAGAGCACTTATGGGGTACTTGTGCCATGATGTTGATCCGTTGTTTAAACCAAACTAAGCCCTTTTACACATGTTTTAAGGGCCTCAAGAGGACCCCCCCCCCCCAATCAACCCCTGACCGTGCTGGCGCCTATGCCTCCCAGATTCCAGCGTGCCTGCAGTCATTTATTGGAACTCTTCAATGTTTGTTTAGGTACAGATACAGGAAGATATGACCTCGCCCGGCTATAACCGTTAGGTGTGACGTCATAGCCAGGTAGAGATTTTACTCAATATTTGGAACCAAACCACGGCCTACTTATTTATAACATTCTTGGCGAGTTTGACTCGTGGTAGCCGTGACCTTGCAGTACAGCAAGGGTCAGTGTCCGCTGTATGACTCGTGTTTTGTGTCGTCCCCCAGCCCGGTTCGGACTCCAAGTT